AAACTGCATGCCAAAACCAATCAATAAGGGACTTGATAAAGCAAGTTTTTGCAGATGTGAGATCAACCAAGGACTTGTCTCTGGATACAGAACATAAAAAGAATGTTGCCACAGGCAAATATGGGCAGTAGGTTGGGCAAGCTGTGAGGTCATAGATGGAATCCAAGAGCTGGGCGTGGTGGCACATGCATTTAATCCCAGCACTCAAGAAGAGACAGGTGGATCTCTTTGAAATTGAGACCAACCAGGTGTACATTGCAAGTCCCAGGCCACTTGGGGCTACAGAGACACCTTGTCTCAAACAAACAAACAAACAAACAAAAAAAAAAAAACACTAGACTTGGTGTGGTGACACATGCCTTTAATCCCAGCACTTGGGAGGCAGAGGCAGGAGGATCTCTGTGAGATCAAGCCAGCCTGCTCTACATAGTAAGTTCCAGACCAGACTAGCTGTGGCTACAGGGAGACTCTGTCTCAAAAAGAAAACCTACAGATGGGATGACAGTGCTACAGTGAACAGCACATGCAAGCCCACTTGTATACAGCCCTGAAGGCCGTACCCTTTCTTCAGTCCTCCACATGCAAAGTACTAGAAAAGGCAAGAGTGGTGCTGAAGATAATGCTCAGTGATAAGTTCTTGCCTAGTTTGCATGAGGCCTTAGGTTCAACCGAAGCGCAAGAGAAAGGCAGGGAGGAAGAGTAGGAAGGGGAGGGGAGGGAGTAGAGTGGATGAGAGGACAGGGGAAGAAATTGAAGCCAGTCAAATTATGCCAATGGGAAGTATGTTTGGGTCCAAATGGTCAAGAATCACAAAGAAATCCAAGCTTCTATACACAATAATGGACTTGACTTGGACTCTGAGAGAACCAATGCCTTCTCGGTACTAGATTTTGTAGAAAAGGTCATATTGTGCATGACATTTCTTCGAGTCTGCTTTAGGTTTTCAAAGAAGCCAAGGTCTCTCTTTTTCCTATACAAAGGCAAGAAATACAGTCCAAGATCATGACCACCACTAACGCAATAGTAATATTTTTGTTCACACGAAATAAGGGATGTTGCGATTTAGGCTACATTTTATAAAGCCTAGTGGCCTCCAAGCAATACCTAGAAGCAAATATAGATTATTTTTGAACTGTATTTTTCCAGTGCTTTAGAGAATTCCAGAAAGCAAAGAGATCACAGCCATCTGAACCCCATTCCCAATAGTTCATATAGTCTGTAACTCCGTAGTGTGTTATTAAATGAGATTTAGAAGAAAGCCGATATAGTGGATAATCTTTGAATAAGTCTTATTAGATAAATCATACTTAGTATCTCAGCAAAAGACACTACTAGGTAGAATCACTCCAGATTCTTGTTAAAACAATTCTGAGCATTTAGTTTAGGTTCCTTCTAACAAACTCCATGCTCCTCACATCACCATGCAATTTGACATGGCTCTATAATGTCACATTCTCTACCCACCCAGTCACCAAACCACTGCCTCCTGCTAGGCTCTAACTTAATTTCTCCTGTCCAGATAACTGTCTGTACATCTCTTTCTCCTGCATTTTACTTGCTTTCACATTTCCATCCTATTTCTTTATGCTAATCCAAAACTAATACTTCATCCAAAGGTCTGTGAATGTTTACTCTGTTGATAAATAAGAGTATATGGAAGAGAGCCAACAAGATCTTCTTAAAACATTAAATCTGCAGCAATAGTTTTCAACCTATGTTCCTGTAAAACACTGGTTTCCTGAAACTATTATGAAACATTTTAACTGATAAAAATTTAGCATTAGAACTATTTTTCCAATACGTATTTTAAATTTTTTAATTAGTATGGTCAGCAAGATGGCTCAGTGGGTACGGGTGCATGCCATCAAGCCTGATGAGTCATGTTCAATCCTGAGGATCCACATGGTTGAAGGACAGAATCAACCCCCAAAAACTGTTCTCTTATCTCCAGAAGCACACTGTGGCATCGCATGCACCCACACATTCATACACACACAAATGAATATAAATAAATAAGTAAAAATTAAATTTTATCAGTAGAAAAATGTTTGTTGCTAAGGAATTTATTATATGTGCTGAAATTAATAAGTTAGCATCAGTCATACCCACCAGATGATAAAATCAATGTTAACATGTTAATATTAATCTAAAAATCTTTTCAATTCAACTTATCCTCTTCTGGGTACTAACTGTCACTTAGCTTTACCCATTCTCCTCACTTAAGAAGATCCAGAACAACAATTAATGGTTTAACACTGATTACTAGGGACATTGCCTAGAGGATGTTTCTGATATCCCTATTAGCTAAGACATACTCATAAATGCAGTTCCTTTTATAAGATTTATTATATTTTAGTTATGTGCATTTGTATGTGTTCTTCTTTGGGGGGGTTGTGCTTATGGGGGGGGCATGCCCACAGAGGCCCAAAGCAGGCATCAGATCCCCTGAAGTTAGAGTTACACAAGGTTGTGAAGAGGCCAGCCTCAGTGCTAGGAAGCGAATTCCTGTCTTTTTCAGGAGCAGAAAGCACTCTTAACCACTGAGTCATCTCTTCAACCTCCTCAAAAGGAGTTTCTTTATTCAAAACTTTAGTATTAATCCTGAGCTTTGACATTCTCACCAAGATATCACCATAGTATGAAACAACACAGATACAATTTAGCTTTCCACCCTCATCATCATCATTCATTTTAGAAATGCAAATAGGGGCTGGAGAGATGGCTCAGCAGTTAAGAGCACTGAGTACTCTTGCAGAGGACTCGAGTTCGATTCCCAGCACCCACATGGCAGCTATTAACAATCCTTAATTCCAGTTCCAAGGGAATCCGAAGCCCTCTTCTGACCTCTGCAGCATTGCTCAACACAGGTGCACTCACATACATGTAGGCAATACACTCATACACATAAAATAAAAATAATAAATAAAAATTTTTTTTAATGCAAACAAAGGCTACAATAGTAGAGCCATTGGTAGAGTGCTTGCCTAATGTGCACAAAGTCCTGGGTTTGATGCTCACCGTCCCATAAATCAGATGTTGTGGGTCACATTTATCATCCTAATATTTGGAAGATGGAAGCAAGAGGATCCGAAGTTCAAGGTCATCCTCAGCTACATAGTGAGTTTGAAGCCATCCTGGGCTACATGAGATGCTGTCTCAAAAGTAAATAAATAAGATAAACAGAAATGTGAATGGGCTTGCTTTTTTGTTTGTTTATCTGAATGTAACTTCTTCAGATGCACAGATCACAGCATTTTTGTTTCCTCCAAACCACAACTCACATTGCTGGCATTCTAAGATGCTTAATGAAGATTTGTGGCATTGCTATTTCTACATTACCCTTTTTCTCATTAGATCTACCAATCTCTACCCCACCATCCACATACACATAATCTATCCTAGCTGCTAGTCTGTTGATTATTTTCTGTCATCTTACTTACAACTCAATATACCCATGAGGAATGTTCTGAAACTAGATGACTATCTTATGAACTCTAGAGAATAACATGTAAAGAATTCAAGGGTCCCTGAAGAAGACTTGTGGTCCAGATGAAGGAAAATAGCAGCCTAGATAATGAAACCCCAGCAAGGCAAGAGAAAGTCCCAGTTGATGCCTGCAGAGGTAGCTGATGACATTCAGCACCATATGAGCCCCCCACCTCCCTTACCTAAGCATTACACAAAAAAAATGGGACCTTTTATGTACACGGGGTAAATGAGCCTGAATTAACTCGGACTATTTGCACTAATAAATACTTTGAACATACACAATAGAAATTAATTCCAGTTAAGGAAAAATAAATTTGTATTTCTTGTACATCTGTGCTTGTGGATCTAGGTAATAATAACACCCCTATATTTCAGGGGAGAAATCGAAACTGAGGACCAGCAAGATAGCTCAGTGTATAAAAGCACGTGCCAAGCCATTAAAACTGAGTTTAAAGAACATTTGCACAAGGAAAGAAAAGTGAATCTGTCTATTCCACTTAATAAAAATGTCCTGGGTAAAAAATAGGAGGAAAAACACAAATTGAGTGTGTCTCAGCTTGCTCTATGATGTCCTCTCTGCTCACAAGCTGTGCCTTCCATCACTTCAGGAGCTCTCTGGGAACCTGAAGTTAATGCAGTGAATAATTTCTCTTGAGTTTGAAGTGCCACTGCTTTGGGAAGAAAGAAGAATCCATCAAAATAAAAAAGCGTCATATTCAAAGATGCATTCCGTGAGACTCTATCATATCTCCAAAGTTGAGGAAAGTCTAGTCCTTCTCTTTTATCTAATTACTGCTTCCACCCAGCTGACTAAGTATTCACTGCATTTCTCTTCATGATATTTGATATAAGAAAGCTACTTAGCTCAGAGATCAGAGAGGATCAAATCAGTACTACTTGGATCCTTTGAAGGACTGTAAAATAGGCTGAGTGTATAGCTCTATGATAAAGCACTCACCTAGCATATGCTAATTCCTGGGTTCAATCTGCAGCACCAAAAAAATGAAACAAGAGTAGGAGTTTTCCCTCATTTGGAGATAAAGCCACAGCACATCTAAGAAGTCAGGGAACGCAATGAGGCCCCAGCATAGCTGAAGCTCCAGTCATCAGTGAGGACAATTCTGACTATACATGCATCCCCCTAACCTACACCCACACAGAGGCAACACCAGACAGTTTGTATACCCTGTTTGGCTGAAGGAGAAACTCAGCTGAGCATGTGTGGGAATTGAACCAACTCCCAGAAACAGTTAAGGATGGAACCACTGGAAACAGCCAGATGTTCCACAGAGGCAGGAATAGGCAAAATCAGCCAAGGTACCTCCATTACCAGGACAGGTAGCCTAACTTTCTTGTGGCTTGTTTGTGCTTGAGGCACCAGAAGCTCTAACTCACTAAGGCTCATCAGCAGCCAGTGCTCTGCCAGTATCACTACTACTACTCAGCTCCAGCTCATCAAACGCTCAGCAATTGCTTAAATAGTTTTTCGGGACCTCAAAAAGAAAAAGTACAGGTCATTTCAAAGAGGGCAGGTGGGGATGTGAAAACAAAAGCTCTCACCTCTGTAACTGAAGACTGAAATTCTCTACAGGAGGCCACGGTCACTCATGTGCTATGTTGTGTGCTGTGTTTTCTTGAGGAGAGAGAAAATTGATGACATGGAAATGTTTAAACAAAAAAAGGAAAGAAAAGATCGAAGAGAAAAATTAATGTCTCAGTGGAGCTTAGGAGAACACACCAAAGGAGACCATTGTCCTTGGAACTGGCTGAGCATAAATGGGCACCTGTGAGTGCCAGGATTTGTCTGAGCACACGTGCTGTGCCAGACTTTTTTAGCTCCAGGAACTTGTCCTGACCCTGGAGCTGGGGGAACAAATGCTGGTTGGGAGTAAATCCTACGTATGGAAGAAAAGGAGCAGAGAGATTTTGGTGTTGTGTCAATTGAATATCATTAATACATAATCAATGGTTTCATTTAACAAGTCAAAGGTTGATGGGAGTTTAATTTGCCTTATCAAGACCTTTTTATGTTTGCTTCCATAAGAATTTATCTCAGTTCCTCAATCCTTTGACTGAGAAAGAAGTGAGTCACACTGTTTCAGAAATTCAAATCATTTTGCATAAATTCATGGGAAAATGATTCGTTCCAGATTTCCCTAAGCAAACCGCAAGTTGTCGGTATGATTAACCACCCAGAGCATTTATCCACTAGAGGGCGCTAGAAGCTGACATTCTTTAAAACACTGCGGAGAATCAGTGACCGTGGTGAGAAAGTTAAGTGGAAAGAGTCAAATAAAAAGCAATAGATGTATCGATTCACAGCTCGGCCATGGCTAAAGCCTAAGTAATGCTGAGATCTCCACAGTGGATCAGTACGTTCTGTGTATGTAGCAGTATCTGAGCAAGAGAGGCAATGATGTCACTGAACCTGAAATTGTTTACTAAATACGATGTTTTTCTCTCAATGAATTAGTAGCTTTTCTCCACTTATAAAGGAACTCGGAATGGTTTCAGTTATTAGAATCATTAGGACATGTTGTTTTCTGAAATTGCCAACGTGTTGCATAACACCATGAAAAGCATGGAAAGTGTCCAGTGTGGTCCGTGCCACTAGGCAATGACGATTTTGAGGATTTGGATCTGAAATAATGATTTATAATAAAAGATGCAAAAAGAAAGTCTTTTTTCTGTTAAGAAAGAGCTTTTTTTTTCCAATTCGTGTGTGTGTGTGTGTGTGTGTGTGTGTGTGTGCATTCAGGCGGTCCGTGCATGTCGAGGTCAGAGGACAACTCCCAGGAGTCAATGCACTCTTGTCACCTTGTAGAATTTGAGCATCAAACTCCAAGTCGTCAGTCTCTACCTGCTGAGCCATCTTGTAAAAGACTTTTTTTTAAAGACAAAAGAAAATGCCGTGCTATTAGGGAACTATTTCACTATTGTCAGCAGGAAAACATGGACCCTGTGATTCTATGGCAAATGAGCAATCTAATGTTCAGTTTTTTCTGCTCTTTCACCTGTCCTTCCTCTCACATATAAATAGTGTTAATGAGTTATCATAGGCCACTGTACCTTGCATTTCTCCTTTCAACACTTAAAACTGTAACCTGAACACCACACCCTGTTATGGAAGGGTGAGGTAGTAAAGTCCATAGTCCTAAAGTCTTATTGTAAGCAGGCCAAGCAAGTCCATGGAACTTAAAACAATAAACAAATAATTCAGGTCAGAGCAAAGTATTCAGTAACTACAGAATCCTCAGAGCTGGGGGAATCTTCTTGGAGAAGATTCTTTTTTTAATTCCTGTCTCAGTATATTAGTTTTCTGTTGCTCTAATTTATTACCCCAATGCTTGGTAACTTAAAGCAACAAAGATGCATTATCTCACAGTTTCTTTGGGGTCAGGTAAACAGGAGACTCTCAGGTGGTTGCCTTAGGGCTTTTCATGAGACATCAGACTACCATTCAGGCAGTACAATATAAAGGTTTGACTGAGGCTGGACAATCTCCCTCCAAGTTCCTTATGCAGATGGATATTGGAAAATCTCAGCTCCTGGCTTGTGGACTTCATAGGGCAGCTTGAGGGTCATCATACCATGACAGCAAATTTCTCCAGGTGGATGTCCAGTGGAGCAAAGCAGAGGTGGTGAACTTCATATCCTAACCTGAAAAACAAATCCCATCATTTCTACAGTATCGGGTTAGCACATCCCAGTGTTGGAGACTACATAGGAAGCATGAATGTCAGGCAGCTGGGACCATTGAGGGGCACCAGGAAAACGTACCACACTAAACTCCTCCAATGTTTAAGATATTTGTGGAATCCCCATAGAGCCAGACTAGATAGAGGCAGAAAAATCTCCACCAAAAGTTCTTTTATATCTCCTCTCTCCCATGGCCTCTACAACCTTCTTTATGCCTATGTCTTCGTTTTGCATGTATGTGTTGTTGCAATGAAATACCTGATGGAAACAACTTAAGGAAGGAAGGATTTATTTAGGTGAATGGTTTCAGAAATGTCAGTTCACTGTGGCAGGAAGAACATGGCTGAGCAGAGCAGTTCACATCATGGCAACCAGGAAACAGAGAAGAGATACAGAAAGGAGGCAGAGGATACAGCCCCAAGGAACATTGTGGGGATCTACTTCTCCAACTGACTTCACCCACCTCTAATGCCCTGGTGATTTAATCATCTCTGGACCTATGTTGACTGACACACCCAGCATGCTTGGCTGATCACAATGATGTTCTCCCCACCCCCACAGTCTATTCACTTTCTACTGCCACATTGTCCAGAGATTTTTCAACTGCTGGGAGCAAAGAAAGAAATTCCTTCACTGATGTCAGTCTTTCAGATTCTCAGTATAAAGCCACTGCTGTTTCATACTACCAAGATTACCCTTTTAGCTTATCTCTTGTACATTATTATTGGAAAGAATACCTATCTTGGGCCAGTGAGATGGCTCAGCAGGTAAAGGCACTTGTTGCTAAGCTGGATGACCTACCTGAGTATGATCCCTGGGAGCCACAAGATGGAAGTAGATACCTGCAAGTTGACCTCTGACCTCCACATGTGCACTGTGGCATTTGTGCACACACAAATTAATTGATTAACTGATTAATTAAACGTTAAAAGAATACATACACTTGGGCTGGAGATGTAGCTCAACTGGTAGATACTTTGCCTAGTGTATTAGTTGCTTTTCAGTTGCTGTGATAGAAAACACTGACGAAAGCAATTTATAGAAGGAAGATTTTATTTGACCTTACAGTTCCAAAGGGGCAAGAGTCCATCATGGCGGGGAGGCATGATGGCAGAGGTGGCTGGAGGAGGAGCAGAAGCTAAGCTCTCACATCTTCAAGCAGGCACAAGAAGGACGAGAACAACTCGACATCTGGCAAGGCTTAAGAACTCTCTCAAGGCTAAGAACTCTCTAAGCCCAGTGATGTGCTTCCTCCAGCATAGCCACACCTTCTAAGACCTCCCAAAACAGCACCACCAACTTGGGACAAAAATGTCAAATATTTAGAGACTATGGGGGACATTCTCATTCAAACCATCACACCTAGCATGCATGAAGCCCCGGATTCAGTCCCCAGCACTGAATAAACTGAGCATTAGGTGCACACGTATACATCCAGCACTTTAAAGGTAGAGGCAGGAGGATCAGAAGTTAAAGGCCATCCTTAATTGTATAGCAAGTTCAAAGCCAGCCTAGGCTACATGAGATCCTGTCTTAAACAAGAAAAGAAGAAAAAAAATAAAGAAAGAAAGAAGGAAGGAAGGAATACTCTGTTCCAAAGGCCAAAAATATCAATAGTATTTGGGAGTTCTTATCTAACCCCTTAAAAATTTTAGGGTTACCTCTTCAAGGGGGGGATATGAGAGCAGCAAAAAGCTCCATTAAAAAAAAGGGAGGAAGGAAGGAAGGAAAGAGGGGAAAGAAAGAGAAAGAAAGAAAGAAAGAAAGAAAGAAAGAAAGAAAGAAAGAAAGAAAGAAAGAAAGAAAGAAAGAAAGAAAGAGAGGAAACCTTTTTGAAGTTAAATTTCCCAAAGCCTTTTCTTGATCTTAGAATGAGTCAGGTTCTAGATGAGGCAGGCGGAAGGCTGGAAACCAAAGCAGAAGTCCATTTGCCATGCATCAGTGCAGTCCACAAATTATTTATGAACTAATAGTCCTTGGTATGTATCATGTCTAAAAATTTATAAACTCCACAAATTCAGTCACCAATGACATAAATTAAACTTATTAAAGATGGGAAGACTTTTAAATGAATCCAAGGAACAAAGTGTTAAAGTATCTTCCTTCACCTGCTCTGTGAGAGGGAAGATAAGTCTACCCCCAGAACAAGTCAAGGAAAAGGGATGCTAAGAAGATCACTCAAAAGCATTAAAGTTTTCTGCAGGAGATATCACTCCATAGGTAGAAATTGTCTGAGTGGCAAAAATATGGAAGCATGTTCATGAGAGCACTGAGAAGTTCTAATATCTGTCTCCAGGTGTAGGGAAGTATTGATGAAGATACAGACAGGGGCCAGATTGGGGTCCCTAAGGAATCTGTATACAAGGAACACCTATGATAGTCCAAATTGGCAGAGCAAAGAATAGCTCTTTGGTGAGACCAGCAGAGTATTCTACACTTCCCACATTGAACTGGGCTGGATGTGTGTGTTTTCCTACTTCATATACTCGTCCTGCCAGGGAATCAGACCTCATGTTAGGACAAGAGGTGAGATATAGAGCTTGGAAACATCAATCAATGTATATTACAAACATTAGAAAGTATTGTGCAAAAGTCACTGTGGGTGGGAAAGAAGGCAGAAAACACTCCAGGAAAGAGAACTAACAATGGACTCCTGCCAAACTGAAGCATAATCAATGTGAAAGATCATCTCTGGAAAGGCTGGAGAGAGCTCGGTGTAGTGCCTCCCTGCAGTCCCAGCATTTGGGAGGTGGAGGCAGGAGGATGAAGTGTTCCAGGTCATCTTTGACTACATAGCCACTTCAAGGCCAGCCTAGTCTATATGAGCTCCTGCCTTAATAAAACAAAAACAGAAGGGCCTAGAAAGTGTGGGCCCTTGATACTTAGCTCCCCCCCCAAAAAAAAAAACAAGCAAAAAAAAAAAAAATCTCAGAAAACATAAGACAAAGAAC